GAGGGGCGGGGGAGGGTCGGGGAAGGCGTCAGGGGGTTGGGGAGTGCGGAAGAGGAAGGAAGTTGATGAGTAGCGTGAGGAGGAGGAGCGCGAGGAGATGGAGGTTGTGCAGGAGCTGTACGATGTGAAGGATGAGGTTGCTGCTGCTGATGATGATTATGATGATGACGGTGATGATGAGTGCGATGATGATGATGATGATGATGATGATGATGATGATGATGATGATGATGATGATGATGATGATGATGATGATGATGATGATGATGCTGATGATGATGATGATGATGATGATGCTGATGATGAGGATGCTGATGATGATGATGCTGGTGATGATGATGGTGACGGTGATGGTGACGGTGATGGTGATGATGATGCTGATCATGATTAGGATGATGCTGGTGCTGATGATGGTGATGATGATGATGAGGATGTGGACGAGGACGCGGAGGAGGAGGAGGAGAAGGAGGAGGCGGAGGACGAAGGATGATGATGATGGTGATGGTGATGTCGATGATGATGCTGCTGATGAGGATGATGACGATGATGATGATGATTATGATGCTGATGATGATGATCACGATGATGATGCTGATGATGCTGATGATGATGATCTCGATGATGATGGTGATGATGATGCTGATTATGATGATGATGATCATGCTAATCATGATGATGACGATGGTGATGGTGATGGTGATGGTGACGGTGATGCTGATAATGATGACGATGATGCTGATGCTGATGATGCTGATGATTGATGGCGATGATGATGATGATGGTGATGGTAATGATGATGATGATGATGATGATGATGAAGATGATGATGATGATGATGATGATGATGATGATGATGATGATGATGATGGTGGTGGTGGTGGTGGTGGTGGTGGTGGTGGTGGTGGTGATGATGATGAGGAGGAGGAGGAGCAGGAGGAGGAGGAGCAGGAGGAGGAGGAAGAGATGTGTGGTGGATGAGTAACGCTGGGAGGTGGACGCGACCCTGCTGAGCGTTGGATACGTGTGGGACAGATGCTGGGCTCTTTGTGTATCAAGCGTACTGCGGCGAGAGGCACCATCATTCAGATACGCGTCAGAGTCGCGCGGCGAGTTTTCACAATTCGAGAGCGTGGCGTCACCACCATCACCATCACGATCACCATCACCATCATCATCATCATCATCATCATCACCTTTACCGACACCGTCACCGTCACCGTCGCCATCACCGTCGCCATCACCATCACCATCACCATCACCATCACCATCACCATCACCATCACCATCACCATCACCATCACCATCACCATCACCATCACCATCACCATCGCCATCGCCATCATCAGCACCAGCATCATCCTAATCATGATCAGCATCACCATCACCATCACCATCACCATCACCATCACCATCACCATCACCATCACCATCACCATCACCATCACCATCACCATCACCATCGCCATCGCCATCGCCATCGCCATCGCCATCGTCATCGCCATCGTCATCGCCATCTCTATCATCATCATCATCATCATCATCATCATCATCATCATCATCATCATCATCATCATCATCATCATCATCCCGCTATCCTCGATCCCTCTCTGATGCCCCCCCCTCCTTGCGCTTCTCCTACTCGATAGGCCTGTGGATGCCGACCAGCCACAGCTGGGGGGCGGCCGTGCTCCTCCCCCCGCCTGGGGAGCGTTCTGCACGTGAGCGGCGCCCTCCTCGAGATGGGTGCCGAACCCGAACTGCCCCGTCTTGGGGGCCTCTGGGTCGACTCGGCGCGCTTCGGGGCCGTTTCGGGGGCCACTTTCGGCGTCTTGGAGGTCTGCCCACGGTGGCGCCTCGGCGTGGTGCCTCTCAGAACTTTGGTGGTGGAAAAGTCTGGGGTTCAAAAGGTAGGTCACGTAGCCATCTTCGGCGTCCTGGAGGTCTCCTGGGCCGTCTTGGGGGCCTCTTGGGGTCGTCAGGGGGCCATCTCGGAGGCCTGTTGGGCCCCCCAGGGCGGCGAAGAGACCACGGCCGCCCGCCCCAATCAGTGGGGCTATAAACGGCAGACACCTGAGCAGCACTTCCACAGCAAGGATGCTAATAATATGAGAAGAATAGAAAAATGTGCATGTGCATATATAATATAATAATACGTTTAGGCAATTTCCCCGGGGAAAAGGTAGGGCATGACTCTCCACAGCCTGGGCTCCCCCGGAGAACCTGCGGTTCACTCCTCCCCTCCTCCTCCGTTGCCCGGGGGATGTGGCGCCCGTGTTCCTGTTGCCCCTCCTTTCGATGTTCGTGCTTTCGCCCCGCAGCCACTTGGGCTCCGTTGGCTGATGTGGGAGCCTTCGGAGCCTTCGGACCCTGATTCTGCAGGCGAGGCCCGCCCGGGAAAGGGGGGGCACCGCAACAGGGAGGGGGGGTACGGCCAGGAAGTGAAAGATGTAGGGAAAGGGAGGCGAGGGGGGAAGGTATGGATAAGGAGGAAAGGGAAAGGAACAGTGGCTTTGAGGGGAGGGATTACCCCAGCGCGACCCTACTTAGGAGTCGGACCCCCTACGAAAGCAGCATTAGTAGCAACAGTAAAGTTCACTGCTGGTGGCCGCTGCCTGGTAGCCGGGTAGCCCTTGCGAGCGCAGGCGGTCGCTCGCCCTTGGTTTGGCCTGGCCTGGCCGCGGGCCCAGGCCGCCAGCCCGAAGCCCAAGGCCCAACGCCTTCGGCTTTTTGGTCATCTCACCAGAGGGCGGCGCGCTCCCGCTCCCGCGATCACCGCGGGCCGCGAGCACGAGCGACGAGCGGCCCCCGACAGGTTGCCGCCGTCGTGGGGCCAGCGCTGCCACATTGCCAACGTGGTCACATTGCAGTTGCAGTGCCGCCGCCAGCAGCGCCACCACAGCGCCCCGTCATTGCCGCCCCCCCTTCGGTCATTTATCTGGCGCGATCAGGGGGCCGCGCGCGGCATGCAGGCATGTTGCGCCTGGGCCTGCGTGCAGTTTGCACACCGGTGCAGCGCCTGATTTTGTAATTGTTGTCAATATGTCTGCCCTCGTCTGGACATATGCGCCGCGCCGCGCCTTGGAGGGCCAGGGCCGAGACGGACGCGCTCTGTTTGTTTTGTGCAAGCCTTGGGACTGAGCGACTGAGCCCCCAGCCTGCAGACCTTCTGGCTGGCCCGATCCATTGCCGTCCATGGGCATTGGGCCATGGGGCCATGGGGGCATGGCATGGGATGGGCACTTGGCAATTGAATTGGCCATGGCGCCGCGACCGTGCCCGTCGGGCCGTCGGCCAGCGGTTCGTTGCAATCATCGGTTTCGGTTCCATTTGGCAGACCAGAGGCTGTAGTAATTGTAGTTAGTAAGTAAGTGCTAGGTAGCCCTTGCGCCTTGCGCCCTTGCGGCCTGGGGCCCAGCGCCCCAACGCATGTGACTTTAGCCGAACTTTAGCCTAACTTTAGCCCTCGGGCAGGGGCCGGGGCCGAGGCCAATCTGCTTTTTTGATTATCCTTGTCGCGCCGCCCGTTGGCGTCGACGTCGCGCGCGCTGGGGGCGACGGGCCCGAGGCCCCCCACGGCGCCGGGCATCGGGCGGGCCCCGGGCCCGGCCAACAGGCGGGAGGCCAGAGCGCAGCCAACAGGCGCGGAGCCTCCAACTCGGGAGCCAGATCACGGCCAACAGGCGCGGGGCCTCCAGCCGAGGAGCCCGACGACCAGACGACGACGACGATGTCCCGCGCCAAGGCCGCCCAGGCAACGCCCGCAGAGGTTGCAGAGCCGCCCCCGGGAGGGGAGCCGGGGAGCAGATCGGGAAGCGCGCGGCGAGGGTGCGCCCGGGGCGGGCGGGTATTTTTTCAGTTTCGGCGTTTTTGTATTTTTGCAAAAAATATAAAAAAAGAAACGCAAAAACTATTAAAATAGTAAAAAAATAGTTTTTCCCACATGATTTTTCTATTTTTTTAATAATTATAAGAAAAATACATCTCCCCGGGAGAACACCTATTTTTCCAGTTCGCGCAAAGAGGGTGGCCGGAGGGATTACCTACTTTTCGGAGACCTGTCAGGATCTAGTTCCCCTTGTTCTCGGCCGTTCGGCTGGCGGCCCTCGGCGCTGAAGACGTCAGTGCTGGGGTGCCAGTTGGCTTGACGGGCCCAGGCCGCGCACTGCGGCGACGTTCTGCGCGAGGCTGGAGGGCGCCGGCCCCGGCGCAGCCCCGGCGAACGCCAAGCCAAGCGCAGTCGGACTCGTCGACGTCGAGCGCGGTCATGTCTTGCACCCAGAGCTTCTGGGCGGGGCACGGGCAGGCCCGGGCGTTGGCCTGGGCCATCGCTGGCGCCATGCTGGTTTATTCCAAGTCCAAGTCGCGCTCGGGCCGATCGGGAGATCCAGCAAATTACGGCACGGCAGACTGCCATTGTGCCATTGTGGCCTGGTGCATGTTGAGTCAGGATGATCCAGGATGGCTTGCTACCCGCAGGGGCGGTGGGTTTACCGTTTACCAGTTCTACAAGTCGGGCAGGCGCTGGCGCCACTGGGGCCGAACTCTTGGCAAACATCCACGCGTGCGGCATGGCAGGGGCAACGAGCTCGAGCTGGAATCCTCTGATGTGCCTTGGCAGGGTCAATGCTGGCAGCTGCTGGCAATGCTCGCAGTCGGGCAGGCATTGGAGTCGAACTCGGCGTTGCGACATTTTTTGTTTCGTGATGCCCGGTGGGATCCAGCGTGGCAACGCTGATCTCTACTTCGCTTGGAGGCGCTGGAACCGAATTGAGGCAAACCTCATGACTCATGCAAGTCGGCCTGGTGGGAGCAACGAACGCTGCAAATCCTTTCAGGGGGGCCTAGTCACTCGTCACTAGTCCTAGTGACCTAGTGGCAGCGACGCTCGGGCAGGCGCTCGAGTCGCATGTCAGCGACCTGGTTGTGGCAGCTTTGTAGCAGCAGCTAGCAATGCTGATTTCTTCATGGAGTGGGAACAGTGCGACGTGCTCTGGGCGCCT